TGAAAGTACTTCCTAGGCAAACATTCCACCAAATAAGTTCATTAATTACTTCCCAAAGTCCTTATGTATACACATATATCGCAATAAACCCTACTGTGACTGCTCATACTTTAACCGCACTGCTCGCCTTTGGAGCGATCCATCTTCGGTAGGCTCTCCCGCTGTTTCAAATGTAAGCGCCACCGTATCTACATGTGGAGGTGGCTAGATATGAAATCATATTGGAAGAGACAAAAAGTAGCAAAAGAACCTTGTTATTTATGCAATATATATATATATATAAATGTCAGCAGATAAAGTAAGCATTTCTTTTTAAATGGATTCCTGCACTGCACAAAAGTCAAAAAAGTCAATTATTACGTTCCGGCTGTTGAAACAATCACATGCTTAGGAAGCAATCAAAAAAATTATATAAATTGTTTAGATAATTAATATTGTGTTAGTTTGTAAATATTACATCCACATATATCGCACAAGGATCGATATTTTCATGACCAAAATAACTTGTGATGCAAGGCATATAAAGTTTGAACGAATGTATGCGTAATACCAACAAGGGCTTAAGGTGGCCCAAGCTTTTCTTATGTCGATCGATTCAGAATCAGTTCCTAAACTATCTACTTGTCACTCCATCTGCCCATGTGTCTGTCTCCCTGTCTAACGTGCGCCTATGTATTCTTGCGCTTAACCTAAAGATCGCAATTTTGAAGGTAATTTGATCAAATTTGGTACACTGGCACCTTTTGGCCGAAGAGTGAAAACAATTGAACATAATTTGAATCGGACAACTTTTTTATCAATCCACATATTATTTTGAAAAAGTCGTTCTTGGAAAAGCATCTTCAGTTTTCAAAAGTTTTTTCCAAAAATTGCTCAGCCTTATTGTTCTGTCGTACCATAGTGGTCAGATAAAACTGAATCGGATAGCACATCTCTTTGAACTTCCTCGTAAATAAGGATTCTCATAAAAAATAATCTTTCCTACGGCAACAAAGCCTAACGCTTAGCAAATAATGACGAAAATAGGTGAAGCGTAGTGAAATCGTTGACAAGAAAATTAATTTTGCTAAAGTTTTGCTTTAATTCACGTTCTGGCTCGTTTAACACATAAAGATTATTGGGAAAAATATGCCTTTAGATAAAATCGGATTTGTATAATTTCGGGTATTTTATTATGAAAATAATTCAAGAATTGCATTGAACGAAATGATGTAGAGTGCAGGGTGCTTGATATTCGATTCTCTCCGACCGTAATGTTTTCCTTCGTTTCTTGTTATAAATTATTATTCGTGTTCTTTGAAGTCACACAGAACATTAAAGTTTTCATTGAACAGTGTAGAGGAAACGACTCTGTCTGAAACGTTTGATAATCTCATTAAGAAGCAACTTCAACATAAGCATTGACACTAGCATCATCAGGGATAATTGACGTTTAACATTTAAAGTCAATTGCAGTTTGCACAATGATTAATCGAAACACTGTATATCTATGAAGATACTCATTGAAAGCACTTGTTGTTGTTGGTATTCGCATTCGAAGAATTAATATTGTTTACTGCATAGCGTATAGTTACCCTAACACATTGCAATCTACAAGCAACATAAGGCGTTGCATTTTCAACATTATCTTTATAGTACTACTTTAATCTACAACTCGAAAAACAAGTGAGAAAGTTATATTTACTTTAAAGCGAGACTGTCTTCGGCGGCAAGTATACAGGCTTGGGGACATTTTCTCAAATGTGGGCATGTCAATATGTCAACGAATGTTTAATTAAACTTCTCACATTTACTTACTAATAATAACCATAATTATAGAAACTTTACTCGCAGTAAGAATGGTTGTTGGGGTATATCCCTCCTATTCAATAAATAAAGCTTTTTGGCTCATTGTCGGGGACGGATAATTTCTGCTCTGTCAAACTTGACTTACGTCTCCTAAAAATATGTTGCCAAGTCTTTCTACCATCACTTTGTCGGTCATGAGGGCTCGATAGCTGCTGGCAGACAGTTGAACCACAAGTGGACAGACAAAGCTAAATGTATGTATGTCGGTTTTTTTACGGAAGTGACTACAGCCTTTGATATCCCAGTTTCTTTCGAATCCAAGTAGAGACGAAACGATTCGGCTTTGAAACATTGCAATGCTCAGCCACTTTTTGCATAAATGGTGGAAAAAGGTGTGGTCCTATCGCTATATCTGGTGGATATTCCATTTTCGATGACCACTCCTTCCGATCGATGGCACATAGCTTAGCTTAGCAACATTTATGAATATGCAAAAAAGTGTCACAGGTTGCACTGCCTAAAAGACGACGGATCGTGTTCTTGACACAGAATTCATATAATTTCATGTAAAAGGCCTCCTCTTCATTTTTGTAAAACTTTAAGCCAAGTTTTACTCACTTTTGCACATATATCTGAATTTATTTCACAACGAATGATGATTTTATGATCACTGAGAGTTTATGGTTTGTTGCACCGATGATTCTAAACATAATCCTACAGAAGAAAATTTGACGGAATTATATCGCATCATCTTCATGGCCACTGCTCTAACGAGATGTATGGCTGCACCATGATAGAATTGCAGTATAATTGCAACTCTTTGTTGAAATCACATAACGTTCAAGTCGAAATCCGCCAATTTATGCTGTAAAAAAATAAATGAATAAATAAAAGAGCAACAAAATTTTTGCAGCTTTCTCCGTTTCATCAGTTTTAGAATTGACTCTCTGGCTAAATTAATAATAACAATAATCATGATAATAATTTTTTTTTTTTTTGATTTTTTATTAATAAATTGAATGAAAACGTACAAAATTGGAGATTTAATGACAGACATGTACGTAGAGTATGATATAATGACAATGTTAATGTCACCATATAACTGAACATGTAGCGCATTCCTACATTTGAAAGCAAATAAATACTAATTAGATAGATATGTTGCAACAATCACAGAATTATCGAAAAGAAATGTATTTTTGATTGGAAGTGATGGCAACTTTCAACATTTACACTTCCTTGCAGATATGAACGCAGGAAGCCAGGAAAACGAAATGATGAAAAATTTTGTGATAATAAAGTCTGCAATTATCTAAAATCTGACATTGACAGGGATATCCAAAATTTTTTGATACACGTCACTTATAATCGGTTCTATCAACCAAACATAAATCGCTATGGATTGAAAGAATCCCTATATCTACTTACGATGGAAGTACGCAGCTGGGTACATACGACTATTTTTTCTTGGCCACTTTTTGTTTAGAGAAATATGTGTAGAGTGCTTATTAAACCTGAGCTATATCTGAGCCGCTGGGTTGATTTTCATTACATTTATTATAGAGCTGGAAAATAACTTCGTTAACCACATTCCCTTACATTTAAAGATCTTGGCATGTTATATACGAATAAGCAAGTATTCTGCGTACAAATAGTTCCGATAACTACTTACCCAGTGAATAACCACAAGAAGATCTTTTACATTTATTATGTTTTAAATTATTTTTCAATTTTTTACTGCTTTTGATGGTAGTTTTCTTACTACTCCAGCGTAACATATTTCTTTGTTTACAGCGTGGCTAATAAATGGTGGCAAACTGTTGACAATAGCGTCAATTGCGACATCAAATATCATAGAGTAAACGTGCATTGGCTAATATTGCCACAGATTTATGGTTCCATATATAAATATGCATTAGTATATATGCGAAACAATAGTTGTTATGTTACAATAGTTGTCATGTCACTGCCTTGGTTATATAAAAAATTCCTGATATAAACTCCACGCTCTTTGGCTCTTTGTTCTTACCACTACAATAAAATCAAAATGAAAATTAATTTGTTTAGTTCAGGAATTTCATATAATATTTTTTTTTGTTTAGTCATTTTACACAACTCTTTGCGTCTTGTGAGGCTTGTGGGACCATCCGATGGAAAACACGTATCTCCAACATTCTTTTCTTCAATTTCACGCCAAAATATAGTTTGTAATCATGTGATAAGAATAGAAGGTGTATGTCACACCGGTGTCTTTTTGGGAAATTAGGGGCCCACCGCACCTTCAGACCACATGCCGCACTTTACAATGACCTTTGTGAATGCAAGTGTTACTTGCGCACTTTCATTTACTTGTTTCATAACTTGTTAAGCGAAAAATGAAAGTCATCACTGAGGGAAAATAGATGCCAAAAATCGTGTTCCACACGCTATTGCTCGAGCAATCAATTAGCGTAACTTCCACACATCGCATGGTCAGCCGACTTTAGTTCTTCCTTTAGCTGGATTTTGTTAGGATGGAGACGTAAATCCAAATGCTTAATACGCTATAATGTACCGTAAGCGCCATTTAATCGATAAATTTGAATCTTCTTCGACAGTTTCACCACCAGCACCAATATTTTCGATTCTGCGAGCTGTGTATGGGCCTTAAAAAGTCCGTTACAAATCCAATTTCTTATAGTGTAGTTTCGTGTCGAGCATAATCAGCTCGTAGTGCACGATAATCCTATATGCCTAACCAAGTTGAGTTGAATATTTAACCCTTTCTATCTCTAGACTGAAACAAGTTTCAGCCGTCTTATAAGTGGTATATATTTCTGGACGCTTTGGTCGTCTGTTCTTCTCTTAGTTGTGCAGCACTTAAACTCCGCACCAATATTTACCATTTATGATCTAAAACCCAAGTCAAAAAGTATGCATGGATTCGCTTGCAACTAAACAAAAACTAACCATTTTTTTATTTTTATCGCAGCGGCACGAAAAATTTTATTTAGTCAATTAAATATAGATCTTCCCGTGTAATTCTTTACTTTCGATTTAATTTCAAATCATAAAGTGATAGATAAGCCTATAATTTCTTTACCTTATATTAGAATATATATAAAGATACAACTGTAAAGGATGTTAGCATTAGTACTACGTTACATTAACGGTGACGGCTACAAAACTTCTTCAATTGCAAAAAAGTTTTCGTTAAAATTGTTCGCTTTTTCTTATTCCAGAAAATTTATCAAAAGCATCAAAAAGGTGTAAATGCCTTTGCTTAGCTGTAATGCTGTGCTGAAGTTCAAAGCCATTATTTTACCAACAGTTAGTTTGGCAGCATTTTGCGATTTACGCAACATGAGCAGAATCATTTTTTGTTCCTTCACCTTCAACCTATACCAGATGCAAACCTCATAAATCATTCTTGTAACGTCATCGTTCTATCAAATATATTTAAAAATATTATTTATGTTAACAATTTCTCGAAAAGGTAATCAGTGCATCAAATCTTTTTCTAACCGCTGTTGCCAATAGTTGACCAAACCCGCAATAAGCGTACATTGAACTATTCAAGATCAACAAAAGTGGCGCAAACGGCCAGACCTTAAGCACTATGCAAAATAGAGTAGAGCAGATGGACAAACAACATGTAGTGACGTGTACAAATATAACGCCAGAAAAAAGCTGTTCAATGTATTCCACAAATCTGTAAGCAAAACTTTTTAAAAAGTGACCTTATGAACCTTAAAAATAAAATTATATCTTAAAGAAAAACGAAATATTTTATTTTTATTTTTGGAAATACTTGACTTCGATCATTTTCATAACCACCGGCCTAAGTGCGTCTATAACATGTAATCGCTACTTACAAATTGTATTTCTGATGCCAAGCAATTATATCATTTAATAAAGATCTGCTTCTTTCAACTGGTTTATCTTCTTGCTCAGTGATCTCATTCAAGTCATGGAATTTCGCCTTCATTATATCTCGATGCAAAAGCACATGAAGTAACATCGAAAACATGATCGTGTCAGAACAGAAGAAACCCACACCACCAAAGAATATGATAGCAGAGTGAAAACCAGTGTGAATGAAATAACCAAGCAGTTCTTTTGGATCAATTCCCGGTATCAAAGCGGTTAAGGTGAGCTCTCGTTTGCCTGTTATTAGCACATAAATAATTGGTAAAACGATTAAACCGGCTACCGACGTGAAATATATTACGCCGGCAATCTTCGAGCATTTTGCTACCCTTTGCAATGTTTTTTTCAAGGCGTATTCGTATCGTGAGCCTCTATTCTGATATTCGTCATATATGTTATCCAAATGCTTAAAAATTTTTCTGAGAATTGTGCGATGGATATAATAACACACATATTTGGATATAGACTAAAAAGAAAACATCGTATATACATATATAAGTTTATATATAGATATATTTATTTTTTTGGCAATGATAACAACCTGAACGGCCAATGACCCTATGGCAAGGCACTGCAAAATTATTGTCCAGTCATTGTTGGTCACAAAGCCATCGTATATGGTGTTTATGAAGCATACGGCGTATATCGCTAAAAACACTAGTAAAACCATAAATACTGGATTAAGCACAGTATAATTTTCGTCGAACATATCGGCACCACAGAAACAGAGCATAGCGCGTACATGTTTGACAAGTTTTCGGAATTGGCCTAAAGGCGACATTTTCGTCGATTATTTTCCTTGTTTTTTTTGTCTGTTGACAACTTCCTCTAAAGCGAGTAGTAAGTAAACTGCAAGAAATTTCGGGAAATTTTCTGATGCGACTGCTGTTAACTGCTGCTTTTAATTCGTTCAACAATTTTTCATTAATAATTACACAAACGAACGTGTGAAAATATTAATTAAGGCGCATATTGACTTAATAATTACTACGAATAATTAGCTCGAAGGAAAGAATTCCATAAGTTGCGTTTCCTTTGCCAAAGTGAAGATAGCCCACCAAAATAACCCACATTACTTAAGGGGCGTGTGTCAAGCAAAATTACTCTCAAGAGACATTACTTAAATCCAGATTAGAGATACGTTTTGAAAAATATTGAGACCTATCAGAAAACCCCAATTTCGTTACGCTGCTCTATCACTGCCAAAATCTCCTCAAAGATGACCTCCCCGCATACATAGGACACTAATTGCAATATGTTGCAAATATGATGCTATTGAAATGTTTCATTTTATATACATAACATTTTTGTTTTTGTTCAACATGTGTGTCTAAGATTACATATTATAGACACATGTTCACAGTAGTAGACTTGTACGCGGGTTCCCTAACGCTATAGAAAATGTATTCGACGACGAAAGGTTATGAATTATTTGATTACGTTTCCTTTCCCTAATTTAGCTGCGGATCAGAAGCATAAAACAGTATTGCGATCTCGCGTGGTAGTGATAGAGTGAAATTAGATTTCTCTGATAGATTTAAGCGTCGTTTAAAACAGATCAAAGAACTGCGGGCGGGCAATTTCGTTCACAAGTTTGATAATTAATTTAGTGGTTTATGTATATGGGAAGAGGACATTTTTGGGGCGATTTTGGCTTTGATAGAGTCTACATATTGTAATAAAATTCTGATAGGTTTGACGGTCGTTTAAAACATATCAGAGAACTGCGCTTGGACGACTTCGTTCACAGTTTTTATAACACACCTTGTATATTGTAAATTTGCGGCAAAGTTAACATGCGCTATATAGTAAATAGTGATAATGAATTTTTTTTTAATTTTTTATAACATCAAGAATGATTTTTTTTTATTTATGATGGTACCCTTTATTTTTAGTTTTTAATTTAATTTTTCTCATCGCTTTGTTATTCTTTCAATATCGTTCAATTATCAGTTAACTTAGCAGAGGCGCGAACCAAATGAGAAGATAGCCCATATTCTAGCAAAAACAAAAATATGTGCTACGTACAGTGGGCTAACTTCATTCCAGTCTTCCTTTGCTCTTTCTATGCTGCAAACTAAATTAATTTTCATAAGGATAGATACACTGTGCAAACTGTAACTCGACGTCGAATTTGTAAGTTTATTACAAATATATATTTACCTCAGCCCCAAGTAGGATCACAGGTAAAAATAATATAACCAAATAACATAATTGATAGCTTACTGTTATATTTTATGAATTTTCAATTTTTGTGCAGGGTTGAGTGAAACTATATCTGAAATTAGAAGCTTTAAAGTAATCACCCACCGAAACACACACTGATCTGTCTAGTTTTATATCTTGTAAACACGAGAATATCTTCTGTGACTTGGTACGTCATGCCAAATGTATGTCCAGTTTTTTTTTATGCTAATTGATTAAGAATCGGTGCTGAATTGCTTTAAGCGAATGCATCCGTCTCTCTGTTCGTTTGTAGCTCGCAAACTCCAGATCACCAATTTTTCAAATATTTTAATCTAATGGACTAGATCGAACCAGTTTTACGACGGTTCTCGGGAGAAAAAACTTATATGAAAAAAATTTCCTATTATTGATTTTTCATGAGAAAAATCGGTGAAAACTCGTAGCAATATTTTCGCATAGCAAATGATAGTCGATAATTTCCATCGCATGAAACCATTTTGTTAATCTGTTTCCCTTTAAATGTTTTAACAAAATATAAAGCTTTATAAGGCAAAATCTAATTTTTAGTATTTTATGCTTGCCACAAAAGGACTCTCATGGCAAGTAAGCCTTTATTTGTATTAATTGTATTTTTTGAAACTAGTCTGACTTTTATTGTTTGATGATAAAAATGAGTGAAAAATAATCAAATCTTCCAGAGCAGAAATTAACTTTATGAACAAAGTCGGTTTACGTTAGACGCTCCCATCTAAAATGGCTTCTCACGAAAGGTAATCCCTTTCATGGCAACAATTTTCCGAACTTTATGACGAAAATAGATCCAGAATTCTTTTAGATGAAAAAGTGCAAGATATTTGAAGGTCAGTCTAGTTCAACTATAAACTTTCGATTATATCTTTCGTTATTAAAAAGCGTAGATTTTTTTCCTCAAAGCAAAATATTTATAATTTTACTCTACACCGAATCCAAAATATATCTCATTACGAGAATCTTGCGATTAGCCTTAAATTTTGAAAATGTAATTGATTGCCTAATTATTTAAAAGTCTACAAGTTTCGCAATTAAAAGTCGAAACAAGCTCTACATGGTAAGTAGTATAAGCATTTAAAAATTTTTATTAAGGCACACCACATCCTAATAACAATTAACAATAGATAACTAATTATAAGAAAGCAATTCCGCATGGCGTATAAATCGTAACGACTCACCTGCACAAGTGAATGTATGCCTATGTGAAGAATGCTTACTTAATCAGTTAATTTGATATCGGAAAAGATTTTTTTAGGCATCTACTGCGGACATTGCAGCGATCTCTTTTGTGAATTGTATTCAACTGATAAGAGCAGGTCAAAATTTCTGTTTTTTTTTTGTAAATTTGTTCCCTTTTTTAAGACACTATCGGCGTCAATCCATTTGCAACTGGATTTGTAAACTTAATCTCTATTCAATAAATTTTTAAATACCATAAAGACTTTCGTTAAAATTATGCGCTGTGTCCCTTCTTATTCTATAAAATTTATCAAAACCATCAAATAGGTGTAAATGCCTTTGGTTAGTTGCAAAGCGGTATTGAAGTTCAAAGGCATTATTTTACCAACAGTTAGCTCAGCGGCATACTGCGATTTGCGTAGCATGAGCAGAACCATTTTCTGTTCCTTCACCTCCAGTCTGTACCAGATACAAACCTCATAAATTATTCTGGTGACCTCCTCGTTCTAGGAAATATGTTTTAAAAAATTTCTAGAAAAAGCAATCAATTCATCAAATTTTGTACTAACCGCTGTTGCTAATAGTTGACCAAACCCGCAATAAGCGTACATTGAAGTATTTGAAATCAACAAAAGTGGCGCAAACGGCCAGACCTTAAGCACTATGCAAAATAGACTAGAGCAAATGGACACACAGCTTGTAGTGATGTGTATAAATATAATGCCAGAAAAAAGTTCTTCAATGTATTCCATGAACCTGCAAGAAAAACTTTATTAAGTAATCCTATGAACCGTAAAAATAAAGTTTTATTTTAACGAAAAAGGAAATATTTTGTTTTTATTTTAGAAAATAGTTGACTTCGACTTTCAAACCTTCGGCCTAAGTGCGTCTATGACGTGTGTTCGTTACTTACAAATTGTAATTCTGATGCCAAGCAATTGCATCATTTAACAAGCCCCTACTTCTCTTAGCTGGTTTAACTTGTTCCCCTGTGGCCTCATTCAAGTCATGGAATTTCACGACCATTATATCTCGATGCAAAAGCACATGAAGCAACATCGAAAACATGATCATGTCAGAAGCGTAGAAGCCCACACCAGAAAATAGTATGATAGAAGAGTGAAAACAAGTGTGGATGAAATAACCATACGTTTCCTTTGGATCGATTCCCGGTATCAACGCGGTTAAGTTAAGCTCCCGTTTGCCTGTTATTAGCATATAAATAATTGGTATAACGATTAAACCGGCTACCGATGTGAAATATATTACTCCGGCAATCTTCAAACATTTCACTATTTTTTGCAAACTTTTTTTCAAAGCAAATTCGTATCGCGTGCCTCTGTTCTGATATTCTTCATATATATTATCTAAATGCTTAACCATTTTTCTTAGAGTTGTGCGATGACTATAATAACATGCGTATTTGGATATAGCCTAAAAAATCATACATTTATATATCTATATATATATCCATAACCATAACCTCTCTATAACCTGGACAGCCATTGATCCTATGGCAAGGCACTGCAAAATGATGGTCCAATCATTGTTGATTATGAAGCCATCGTGTATGGTGTTTATGAAGCATACGGTGTATACTGCTAAACACACTAGTAAAACCATAAATAATGGATTAAACATAGTATAACTTTCGTCGAACATATCGCAAGCACAGAAACGGACCATAACACGTACATTCTTGACAAGTTTTCGGAAACGATCTAAAGGTGACATCTTCATCCACCTATTTCGATTATTTTACTTGTTTTTATTTTTACAAATTCCTCTGAAGCGAGTAGTAAGTAAACTGCACGAAATTCCGGAAAATTTTCTGATACGACTGCTGTTAACTGCTGCTTTTATTTAATTCATTCAATCATTTTTCCATAATAATTACACAAGCGAACGTGTGAAAATATTAGCTAACGCACATAATGTCTCAATAATTAGTTTGAATAATTAGTTCTAAGGATATAATTTTGCAAAAATTTTTAAGTTATACTTCAAGAGAATACTTGCTTTTTTTACGCTGCAAATAAATTTAACTTTCGTATTGATAAGTACACTGTACAAATTGCACCGCAGAGTTGAATTTCTAAATTTATTTGATATTCACCGCTACCGTACCCATAACTTCGGCGGGACGAAGGCGAACACACCTACCTTAAGGTTTTGCACAAGTGTATCATCCATCTAAACCGTCGTGCGCAGAATGTGCAATGTACTCTTCCCGTACATGTCACCGTACGTGCTACCGTTCCTTTAAAAAGGCAAGACGGATCCAGATAGCCAAACTCAACAAAACGCCCAACTCCCGACTGTCGCACTAACGGTGCTCGGGGAGAAATGACACTACGTGAGTTTGTCTTCGAACTCCTTACTCCAGTTACCTGCCAATCTCTAGGGAAACAAAATCATCCCTTCGAAATACAAGAGCTGAGTTTTGACTGACTGCCTTCCGGCAGGCAGACGGTAGGTCTTCAGGGTCCTCTAAGAACGAGTAGCCCTCATTGAATCTGAAAACTCAGGGACCGCCGGCATTAAGGTATAGGCCTACGAAGGGCCTGACTGCGGAAAATCTTGACTCCGCAGAAACTGGAGGCGCACGAAGCTTAAGGGACGCCCCTCGATGCTTGCGTTTGAGCGGCCTAAGCAGAAACAATGCGCACATCAGATACACCGAAGTCAACCTCCACCATGCTAAAGCTCCTCTTCTGTTTTCAGTATGAGGTACACAAGCGATGGTCTGGGCATAACTCTCATTCAGCAGCACTGCATAAATGCGAATGCTATTCAAGGCGTGCGCAACAAGGAAGATAAGTTGGTATGCAACATCCAACATGTCCTTCCTTCCGTACGAGAAGGTATCGAGTCACTTCACCAGCTTTTGCCTTTACGAAATAATATTGACCTTCTTGGCCAAACCAAAATATTTATAATTTTACTCTACACCGAAACCAAAATATATCTCATCCGCCAGATAACCGAAGTTGTGAAAAAATTAATTTTTACGAGAAAAGCAAGAAGCATGGAATTTTTATAAATCATCTTTTGATATTTACCCATTCATGTACCTAAGAAGGAAATTCATCTAGAGTAGTGTAACAACCGAATAAACCAATTACGAGAATCTTAGATCACCGTTAGAATAAGAAATTCTAATTTATTCTTTAATTATTTGAAGTTACAAGTTTTGCAATTAAATGTCCGAATATTCTACAAGCGCTACATGGTAAAAGGTGCAGGAACGTCATAATAACAACTAACAATAGGCAACTAATTATAAGAAAAGAAATCCACATGGAGTGTCAAACTTAACACTCCCCTGTACGAGCGAATGCAAACATATATGAAGGTTGCTTATTTAGTCAGCTAAGTGCATATCGGACATTTAAAAGGTTTTTTTAGGCATCTACTTCTTGACATTACAGCGATCTCTTTTGTGAATTGTATTCAACTGATAAGAGCAGGTCAAAATTTCTGTTTTTTTTTTTTTTGCAAATTTGTTCTCTTTTTTAAGACACTATCGGCGTCAATCCATTTGCAACCGGATTTGTAAACTTAATCTCTATACAATAAATTTTTAAATACCATAAAGACTTTCGTTAAAATTATGCGCTGTGTCCCTTCTTATTCTATAAAATTTATCAAAACCATCAAATAGGTGTAAATGCCTTTGGTTAGTTGCAAAGCGGTATTGAAGTTCAAAGGCATTATTTTACCAACAGTTAGCTCAACGGCATACTGTGATTTGCGTAGCATGAGCAGGATCATTTTCTGTTCCTTCACCTCCAGTCTGTACCAGATACAAACCTCATAAATCATTCTGGTGACCTCCTCGTTCTAGGAAATATGTTTTAAAAAATTTCTAGAAAAAGCAATCAATTCATCAAATTTTGTACTAACCGCTGTTGCTAATAGTTGGCCAAACGCGCAATAAGCGTACATTGAAGTATTCAAGATCAACAAAAGTGGTGCAAACGGCCAGACCTTAAGCACTATGCAAAATAGAGTAGAGCAGATGGACAAACAACATGTAGTCATGTGTATAAATATAACGCCAGAATAAAGATCTTCAATGTATTCCATGAACCTGCAGGAAAACTTTTATTAAATGGTTGTCTTGAAAATAAAGTTGCGTCTTAAAAATAAATTTTTATTTTAGAAAATTCAACCATTTTCATAATCACCGGCCTAGGTGATCGTTACTTACAAATTGTAACTTTGATGCCAAGCAATTACATCATTTAACAGGGCCCGTATTCTCTTAGCTGGTTTATCTTGTTCCCCTGTGACCTCATTCAAGTCATGGAATTTCGCATTCATTATATCCCGATGCAAAAGTACATGAAGAAAAAGTGAAAACATGACGACGTCAGAAGAAAAGAAACCCACACCACCAAAGAATATGATGGAAGAGTGAAAACCAGTGTGGATGAAATAACCAAGCATTTCTTTTGGATCAATTCCCGGTATCAATGCGGTTAGGCTAAGCTCCCGTTTGCCTGTTATTAGCATATAAATAATTGGTATAACGATTAAACCGATTACTGCCGTGAAATATATTACGCAGGCAATCTTCGAACATTTCATCATCTTTTGTAAAGTTTTGTTCAAGGCGTATTCGTATCGTGACCCTTTACTCTGATATTCATCATATATGTCAGCCAAATGCTTAAACATTTTCCTTAGAGTTATGCGATGACTATAATAACATGCGTGTTTGGATATAGCCTGAAAAGAAAAAACCATATATATATATATATATACATATCCATAATCATAACCTCCCTATAACCTGGGCAGCCATTGCTGCTATGGCAAGGCACTGCAAAATGATGGTCCAATCATTGTTGATTACATAGCCATCGTATATGGTGTTTATGAAGCATACGGTATATATCGCTAAAAGCACTAGTAACACCGTAAATAATGGATTAAACATAGTATAATTTTCGTCTATCATATCGGAACCACAGAAACTGGATATAAAACGTATTTGCTTGATAAGTTTTTGGAGGCGGTCTGACGGTGGCATTTTCGTCCACTTTTTTCAATTATATTATTTTTACAACTTCCTCTGAAGTGAGTCGTAGGAAAACTGCAAGAAATTCCAAAATTTTTTCTGATACGACCGCTATTAAGTAATGTCTTTCATTCAATCAATAATTATTTATGAATAATTACAAGGCCGAACGTGTGAAACTATTAACTAAAGTGCATAATGTCTTAATAATTAGTTGGAATAATTAGTTTTAAAGAAATAATTTTGAAAAAATTCTATAAGCTATGCTTTAAAATAATTTCAATATTATTCGAAATGAATAAAGCAGTAAATCGGTATAATTTTATAAATAAAATATTTAGATCACAAAAGAATAAAATCAGCACAAACAATATTCGTTTCACTGATTGTGCGGAATAATTTTTTCTCTTGATTCGCATCTCTTTTTTATTGGCCTCTTCACGCTCTAAAATATCTTGCATTGGTATTTGGCAAATAATTTTTATTTTGCTTTTTTCTTATTCTTTCTTTTGCGGTCTAAGTTTTATTTAAATACTTTCTTCCTAGCTAAGTATTGTTAAACCCACCACTTACAACATCCACAAGCAAGCTTCAGAAACCCCATAATGCATACATAATCTTGATTAGCATGAAATAATGAATCGGTTAAGCCGTAGCTGTTCATCTATGCTTATGTGAATTGATACTATCATGCTCACACGAATGAAGATAGCGACTTCAAATTTTGCTAGAAACATTGCAAGTGTTCGTATGCAGGACGACATTGGAAATGGGACGAATTCATCAGAGTAATTAAGCATAAATTCATTTTGATAAGGAAAAATTTGTGGGTTTTTCCTCATTACCCGCTTATTACGAATGAAAGGGGCGTTTAGAGGAAATCAAATTTCTTGGACATTGTTATCGAATATCCGTCAATTTTTTAAACGACTTTGCTTGTTTTCTATTTCAAGTGTATCGACAACTTTAGGGCAAACCCAAACGAGTTGCGTATTTTCAAATATATGTATTATGTATTTGTGAAGAAACTAAAAAAATGTGTAACTTGCAAGACCCATGTTACCATTTGGACTAATTTTAAGTTTGTAGTACAGTTTTAGAAGTTTATGCCCATAAAGACATATGAGTTCAGGTAACGATTTCTATCGCTTTAATTTCAATTTTTTATATTTATGTACAATTTCTTCATACAATTTTCATCATATATTAACCAAACTATCAGCCCGCTACTTAAACAATAAAATAAAATTTCAATATTTTGTATTATATGTTGGGCATGGTCGTCTATTTCTGCGATGAAAATATCTGCGATAAGAAATCCACACAACGTACACTGTTCCTTCCACTGTAATTTAAGTATAATAGGTAAAGTAAATTATATAAAAAGTTCGATTATATAAACTTTCATTTTAGTGAACTAAAAGTTGGCAGATAAATTTTTTAATCCTATTTAACTTTTCTTTTTATACATAAATAAAAGCATGGGGTTTTAATGGTAGTTTGTATGCTCGATTCAGCCCCATCCACCTACGACTTTCTGATTTGCTTTGTTTAGTCTTTTTTGGGCGAACGGTGATGGATACAAAAGATGCGGTCACAACAGAGTATCATTTTCTTTCTTGTTATACGTTACTTTGAAACAAGCATCTCCATCTGATTGTTAGTGCAGGCATATCCTCGATTACGTCTTTATTTTCCACAATGAACTGGAAGACAGCAGAAATTACCTTATAAGATTTACCTTTTTATTTATGAGTAGTCCAGTCATCATATTGTATGCATAAACGTTTAACTCCTTTACTAACCTGGAAGACGTTTCAATTTCTTATTGTATTATTTCTTAAATTGTCTTACATTCGACGCCCACTAAACGAAAAAGGAAGTATTAGGATTTCAGTGGATTTCAATAGCTTTAGCTTACAGACTGAAAACGTACAGTGATACGGAACAACTGGAAAGATTTCCATTAAAGCAATTAAACATTCTCTCGAGCTGCTTCACAATATAGGTAGGTGGACTAGTAAAAATGAATCTACTTACATTTTGAATGAATATCTCGATTCGGTAATAGCGAGTATACATTGAACACCCTATTCCAACATAGCAAACTCAGTGATTACAAACTACAACAAATTTTACCTACCTAATCAGTTCGAAAGACGAGATTCTATCATATATAGTAAACAACAACCTGACTGAGACTATGAATTACTTTCTCTCGTTGTAATTGTGCTAGTTGAAGGAAGATAGGGATGCGTATAACAACCGATGAAGAAACTTTCGTTAAACGAAATTTCTAATGTTATTCTTGTTAGTTTGTATTCCTCACAAAGAAAGTGCAGCAAATGCAAAATCACGCAGCACAACACGGAAACAAAAGCTGTTCTAAGATTGTTTCTCATATGTAGGAATCATGGTTACGAGCTTAGGTATGTGCTGTTGTTGCTATTCCAGTTGTGCAGTTTACACGCAAATGCAATGTTTAAAATTTTAGTTTAACTGTGTCTCGGGAAATTAAACGACACCAATGTTCGCAGCCGCTGCTCAAACTGTTGCCATAACGATGCGTATATGAATTCAGGCGTACATGTATGCCCTTGTTATTAGCATAATACGCAAATACATGAACGTACATCGGCACGGGCATATTCGTAACGCTCAGTACTCAAGGCTAGCTTCGATGTGTGTATATGTATATGTAATTAATTTGATTCTGTGTGACATTATTTGAGTATGTGCGGTAATTCTAGGCTGTGTCGTTTACGTATATTCGCGATTAAAGCATTAAAATCAATTGCATATAACCGTAAAGATCCCCCTGCTCCTTGTGTTCTTAAATATTAATAAATTTTAATGCCTTGCATTCATTTGTATCCGTTTAGCAAAGTTCCGACAAACGTTTACTAAGCCTTTACGCAAGCATTGTGGAGTTTTTTCAATTTGTTTGTGTGTTTATTTATTTATTTATTCAGCTAGAAACAGACGCCACCAATCAACACACAATATCTTAGAAATAACCAATGAGTGAGCAATAAGTAGAATGATAAAGAGAGTAGATAACACCGCAGATACCAGTTGGCATATGTAAGATGTCGATGTCACATTTTTTTCTTTAAATCATTCTAAAATGGTGTCTATAATCTATATATGTCATATCTTCAAAAACATCCTATTACAGCCAGTAGTGAATATTCAAGTTGCAGGTGCCGCGTTTAAAATTTCAAGCTTGAAATCTATGTTTTACTCGTTTACGTAGGTAAATCGCATCCGCTCTTTAATCTTCTGTTACTAATCTATCAAGAAATGCTTGACCCAATTCTCACTGACGTCAAGTTAGTGAGTCAGACTAGACCACACAAAAGTTGGGTTATCTTGGCACTTGTTTCACGCCTCTGCTAAGGTAATTAATACTAATACGAAAGAATGAAAGAATAACATAATGATGAGAAAATCTAATTTAAAAACTAAAAATAAAAAGTACTGTCATAAATAAAAAACAAAAAATTTGTCTTGTTCTTATAAAAAATTTCAACAAAAAAAAATTCATGTGCCGTTGTAGTATAGTTGGCGAAAAGTTTATAATATATACGATGTGATAAAAAAATATTTCACGTATTTAAGAAGCGATTGTAAAACCGATCAGAAAGACTTCCAACACGGATGTATTCGAGTTTAGAGCTTGCAAAACCGTTGCATCGAATTAACGGTTTTCTTTTTTTAAATCGCTTTTCTTCAGTTTAGGAAAGGCCAATAAATAAATAAAAGAGAAAAAGAGACAAAAGCATAAGAGTATGTTGCCGCTTAAAGTCAACTAAAAAGTTGAAGGTCGTGCGGCCGTTATTTGCGACCACAATGAAAGCAAAAGTTATTTTCGATAAATATAAATATTTGTTAGTTCCAGAAATGCATTGCTAACTTACAATAATTTACAATGCGTACTCAAGAAGAGAGAAAACCTTGATTTCATAGATGATCGCTGCTTTGGTCGACCACAGTCACAATTTATGGATTGATTATTCATAACAACTACTTGACGACAGCAAACACTACTAATATAAAATTTAAAGTGGAATAACCGATGACTTTCGTTTCGTTATATAATAAGTAACGAATTTTGTTTCTGCTTGGACAACAAATTCTTCAACCTGAAACGTTCGACAATGAACAAGTCCGATACATTTTAGGATTACGGAATTGTCGCAATCATACGTGTCAGCATAAATTGTAATTCAATTTCAATCTTCTCCTTTCTTTATGAGCCGATATATATATATATGGCATTATTTGTAGGTTTTCTTTTAACATGATTACTGAAAGTTGTTCCATTTGCCACATTGACATCCAAATAGATTATCCTTTACATACAACACCGATTGAAAGGGTTAATTACTTCATCTTTTTCTTTCCCGTCTCTCTCTTCCATTTTATTATTATTTTTTTTTTTTTTTGATACCTTGCATACACATACAGCATTGTGCTTAGGGTACCAATAGGCTACAAGCCGAGAGTCGAGGCAAGTAGCAACTGTCACGATGTACTGCAAAAATTTGCTTAGATTCTCCAGAGAGTGCTAAGCCTTTACATCAGATGTTAAGCGAATAAATACAATGAACAAATTTTATCTGAGATCAGCTCTACCTATGTATAAGTTATCAAAATGCATTCGTAATAATATTTATTTATGGTCAGCAGACACCTTTACGAAGCAAAGCATAACTTGTAAAGTAAGCGAAACTTTTTATATAAATTTATTCTGACTGAATATTTATCTTTTACACGAAATCTTCAACATGTGCCTTTGGATCTTGCAAATGAATAGCAATTAGTTAGTGTGCGTACCATTTAAAGAGTGGCACAAAAATAGACTACGGTATAAAGTAAGTTCATTATGTGGGGAAAAAATAAATATTTAATAGTGTTGCAGGAAAATTGGGGGTAAAGAATAAATGTTTAATGTTGGAAAATAAAAAAAAGTTTAACTTCCAGTCCAGTTCTTAGTATTACGTAAGAGT